GACGTGTGCTCTTCCGATCTCTTTCCGCGGTTCGACAGAAATAAGTATAACAAATATATACTTTATTTAGAAACTTTATTTAAAAACCTTAAAATTATAAAATGAAAAAATTTAACTTTAACTTTTCAATTACTTTTTTATTAACTTAACTTTTAACACAATTAATTTTATTATGGACTAATTTGTATCTTAACTAAACTTAAATTTTGAAACTGTTAACTTTAACTTAATTTAGTTAAAAAAAAATATTAACTTACCCAACCCTGACAACATATGAAGATGAAATCGACAGATATTACATCGACTGGTAGATATTACATCGAAATACTTTACGCATGTCAAACAACGTTTGTGTACGTCTTCTAGACAATACGTAAGTAAGGATTCCATCTTTCTTGGAATAGACAATATGCTATAAGATAATTATCGCTTCGCAGCGCATTGATAATTACGAGTAACTCACAGTCGCATTCACACAGACATATTGAAATCGATTTTTTCTCTAAATCGTCATGATGTCACGACATTTGACGTAAATATTCCCTTGTGTTTTTATACATATTTTATACACAGGTGACATCTTTCTAATTTGTCAGCTACTCAGTAAAATTACCAGTTTAATTACTCAGTTTAATTACTCTGTTATTATCGATAATACATCCGGAGATGCACTCGCACAGGTTTCGATTATTACAAGGAACAGAACATGTGTTCACTTTGTTTTTTTATGTGAATACTGTCACATGACGGTGAATAATGTATAGATCAGAGGCAGAAACGATACTAAATTTTTTAAGCTTCATTAGTAACTTTTAATTACTGACAGAAATACTTCATTCTTCTGGACAAACAGGGTACATCGATAGAAATATGAAACAGAGGTAAGAAACATATACGAGGAATTGTACACGTTTCTCTAACGTAGGTAATAGTTTCTGAAGATAATTCATCCATAAAGACAAACGAGTTTTTATATAAACGATTGTAACTAAATGCTGTCCTTTTTACATTTTGGAATACATTAACTTAGA